TAAAGGTTTGAAACACAGGGACTGGCCTCATTGACTTCAGGGGGACCAGGCCCAGGTGGTGGCCCATGTGCCCATCAATAAACCCGGCCCAGCCATCCACATCTCCTGAGAAGAGAGGAGGGGCTGGAAGTACCTTGAAGAAGTACTTCCGGTGGGAGGACCAGAAGCACTTCTCTGGAAGTACTTCTTCAAGGGCAATTACTTTCTCTTTTTCTAGAAATAGGCGTTTGCATCCTGGTGGATATTATTGTGTTTTGGTGAACTATTTTATACTTATTAAATTCATTTGGTCCTTGTGTTAAATTTTTTTTAAATGGCTAAAGGAAATTTAGAGAATAAAGAAAACCTAAAGAGATAAAATACTCTCTGTAATTCTGGTGCAGAGAAAGGTATGTTACCATTCCTGGGTAGGTGCCCGGCTTTTAGATTTTTAGTAAGATTTTAAAATAGAGAGTCTACTTGCATCCTTTGAAAGCTCATCTGCGTTTTTTTCTTTTTCTACTTTTTTTTTTTAATGACAGTGTTTTGCTACATAGCCTAAGCTGGTCTCAAATTCAAGACTTCTCAAGTGTTGGGATTACAGGTGTGAGCCACTGTAGGTGGTCAGAATGTCAGTAATATGTTTGGGACAGTTTCCTATAACATTCAATATTCTTTGAAATTCCATAGCTGCGTAATAGAACATTATCAGAACATACAGGGTTGGGGGTGTAGCACAGTGGTAGAGTGCTTGCCTCAGGTGGCTAGGCCCAGTGTTCGCTTTCCTAGCACTGCCAAAAAATCAAAAGAAGAGCCCAGTGCTGTGGCTCCTGCCTGTAGTCCTAGCTACTCAGGAGGCTGAGTTCTCAGGATTGTCGTTCTAAGCCAGGCCTGGCAGCAAAGTCCCCGTGAGACTCTCTTCCCCAATTAACCACTCAAAACCCAGAAGTAGAGCTATGGCCCAAAGTGCTAGAATGCTAGCCTTGAGCATTAAAAAAAAACCTCAGGGACAATGCCCAGGTCCTGTATGCATAACACCCATAACCCCCCCCCCACACACACCAAAACAAACAATAACCACAACAATTAAAAAAAAAAAAAAACCAAGATGGCCTGGAGGTGTAGCTCCCTTGGAATGCTCAGGCCCTGAATTTGATCTCCAGCATCAAAAAAAAAAAAAAAAAAAGTTAAAAGGACATTAAAAAAAAAAATCCAGTCATACAGTGAAGCTGTGGGGGACAGAGGCCCTCTAAATGCTGGCCTCTGGGCCTCCTTACACTTATTTCTTAGGGTACAGCCCTACTTCCTTGCCATCTGATCTCTTTTTTTTGGAGGGGGGGCTCCAGGAGGGACCCAGGGCAGCCCACTAATAGCCTCTGGGTGGGCCCTGAGGTACTTTGTTAAATTAAATGCCAGCACCACCTAATGACCCAGCAGCTCCCCCTGGGGACATGTTGCAAAGGAGCCGCAGCTCCCCAAGAGGTCCCTAAGTGGTACTTCTGTGGTGAGGCGAGGCACACACCAGCCCGCCCTGGGAATGGAGCTCAGTGAAAACAGACAAAGCGAGCCATCTATAACCCCGCCTCGCTGACATAAATGAAAACTCCACAAAGCATCAATAAGCATTTTGCAAACACACACACACACACACACACACACACACACACAGAAAGAGGCACAATAAACATATTAGGCTGGTTGCTATGGAAGGAGAGGAGGGGTGAGGGAAGAGAGGGTTGGGCCCAGGGAGGACCCCAGTCCTCAGTGTGAAAGAGGAGATTGTGGGGGGGGGCAGCCCCAACCCAGCTCCTCTTGGGGACCTGTTGTGGACCTGGCTTGAGTTGTATTAGAATGTAGAGTCTCTGGGTCTCCATTTTAGGAGGCCTTATCTTTGGAGGCCCCACCTGTTCAAAAGAACTAGAGCCCATGGACAATTACTAGGTTGTTTGTTTTGTTTTGTTTTGAACTCTGGGTTTGATCTCCAGTTATTTAGAAGAAAGGAAAGAAAGGGAGAGAGGTAGGGAAACCACCAGATATGGTGGCACATGCCTGTAATCTCAGCTACTGGAGAGGTTGAGATCCAGAGGATCATGGTTCCAGGCCAGCTCCAGGCAAAAGCTTAAGAATGCAAAGAAAGAGCTGGGGGTGGGGGGAGGCTGTCACTCAAGTGGTAGAGCTCCTTGCCTAACAAGTTTGAGGTCTTGAGTTCAAATCCCAGTACCACCATAAAGGAAGAGAAAAATAAGACAATGCAAAATCTTATGTTCTAATATGGGGACCCCCTCCATCCGTCCCTGAGCACACAGGAAGTCACAGGAGTTCGGGATGCTCCTCCACAGGCTTCCTGCAGTTTGGGCCACATGGGGGCCTCCCCACCCACAGTTCAGGGAGCCCTGGCCATCAGCCAGGAGCCCCAGGCTGGCCTTTTGCTTCCTGCAAGCATCTGCTGAGCACCCCACTCTAGGAAGGTTCTGCTCTGGATTCTGGGGGACACAGAAGCCAGGAGCAGGTGACACCCCGGTAACCAGGCAATTGGGGGGGGCAGGCAGGGGACAGCTCTGAGGATGTTGAGGTGCTGGCCTGTGTTTGGGGAGAGGATGGGTGCGGCGCCTCCTGCAGCAGGCCCTGCGAGTTTGCCTTCTAGGAATTTACCCCAAAGGCAGAGCAGCTCGGGCTGCTCACCACCCCCCCTCCCCCGCCCCTCCCGCCACATTGCCTCATTCAGCTCAAAACTCGGCACTGCCAAGGGGCTAGTTATTCCTGTCTGTGCTTTTCTAGGCTTTGTTTTCTGTGCAGGACCAGGAATCAAACCCAAGGCCGAGAGCGTGCCAGGCGAACACTGGCAGGTGAGCTCGGCGGAGCCACATGGTTTTTCTCTGTAATAATGGCCTAGCACGCCCCTGCACAGGCCTTGTTATTGAGCTGGTCTGTTTTTGGGGAGGCGGGAGCTTGGGCCCCTGTGTGCGCTGTGCAGGTACACTGCCAGTGGAGGTGCCCCCTCCAGCCCTTTTCAGCTTTGGTTTGCTTTTCAGGTAGGGTCTCCTGCTTTTGCTCTGTCTAGGTTTGGAAGGATTGTCCTACCTATGCTCCCGAGTAGCTGGGATTGTAGGCACACACCATCATACCCACTCCTACACTAGGCCCTCCTGAAGGACAGGCTGTCCGCCCCTAGATACAAGTCTGTCATTAATAGCAAGGCCCCAAATCAAGTCTAACGGTGCAGACCTGGAATCCCAGGCAGCTGAGGAAGGAGCATCTCAAGCACCAGGTCAACCTGGGCTACATAGCGAGACCTTTGGTTCATAAACAAGACAGAAACGCCATCCTCCCCCTAAATGACACCAGAGACAATGCTTAGTGCTCTGGAAATAGTGCTCACCATGATACCACTAGGTACCCCAAAGCAATTTCAGAGCAGTATGAAAACACTGCAACTCCATTGTTTTTTTTTTGGGTCCGGTCGTGGGGCCTGAACTCTGGGCCTGGGTGCTGTCCCTCAGCTCTTCAGCTCAAGGCTAGCGCTCTACCACTTGAGCCCACAGTGCCACTTCCGGCTCTTTTTCTTTCTTATGTGATGCTGGAGAATTGAACCCAGGGTCTCAGGCATGCAAGGCAAGCGCTCTACCACTGAGCCACCTTCCCAGCCCTCCATTTGTTCTTAAAAATAAAAAAGCCAAGCATGCCCTGCTACCCTGGGCTTGGGCTGGGGCATCTTGGGGCCAGGCTGGGGCCATCTGCATGGGGGACACCCAAGGTGGGAGACCAGTGCCTGTGGGATTATGGCTGGTATTTTTTGGTCCACTACTAGGACTGTGACTGACTTATCTCATGCTTGCTTTCACTCATTGGCTGGCCCTCTACCACCTGAACCACGCCTCCAACCCTGAGGCTGGCTTTTGTCCCTGTGTTTTTACTTTGGTGTATTTTCTATTTTCCTAAATTAATTTGCATTCATTCTGTAATAAATAATTAAAAACTACATTTGCATAAGCACAGGAAAGAGCCAGAAAGGTATTAAAGCAAAATGTAAACAGTCACTATTTATATCCAGGTGAAGAGACTGGGGGTAATTTGTTTTGTTTTCACTTGGGTAACTAACAAGCATTACATTTTACTTTTAGTGTTTCGGTTCCGCTTATATTTTAGCAGTACCAGGGGTTAAACTCTGGACCTTGCGCTTACTAGGCATGTGCTCTACCACCTGAGCCATGCCCCCAGGCCTTTTTGCTTTCGTTTTCAAATAAAACTCTCTCCGCTCTGCTTCACGGTGGCCCAAGAAGGGTCTGTCTGTCTTCCATTCAAGGGGTCCCACCCTGGGGCCCCACCCTGGCTGCTGGGGCAGTGCGGTGGGGGCCGCGTACCCCCTGACTAGGAGTGGAGGCCTTTATCCCGGGGAGGCCGGGGGTGGGGAGGGTGAGGCAGGGAGGCCGGGGCGGGCAGCAGGGGCCAGGCACACTGCTCAAACCTTGTGGCGCCCAGGGTGGCCCTGTCCCCACCTGGCAGTTGGGGATGACCGGCTCCGAGGGGCCGGGGGGGGGTCCCCACACTGCCTGCCAGCCGCACAGCTCTGCCCGGGGGCTTGCGACTGAGTCACTCACTGCACAACCCGGCTACAGCCGCCGGGTGCCTGAGCCTCGCGGCCCACTGCGCCTGCGCCTGCCCAGCCTGGACGGGAGGGACGGGAGGGACGGGAGGGGGGAGGAGCCGGCGCCGCTCCCCGGGACGGGGGGGGGGAGGGGCTTGCTCCCCATTTTCCAGAGCGAGACCCAGAGAGGTGTCCCCGCGGCAGAGGCGCTGGGGGGGGCGGGGAAGTCCGGTGCTCCGGGACCCCAAGAAAGCCTGGCGCCTTGGCCCCGCCCCGGAAGTCAGCTCGAGTTAACGATATGCAAATGAATTCAGCTCGAGTTAATGAGATGCAAATAGCCAGGCCCAGCGCTGGGGGGGAGTGGTGGGGGCGTGTCGGAGGGTGGACCCCTCCCCCTCCCCTCCCTCCCCCCCTCCCCGCCCCGGCGCCCGCTCACCTGGATGCCGTTCTCCTGCAGGTTCAGGTAGCGCGTGTTGACCGGGATGCTGGCGGGGACCTCGGACAGCTCCCTCCGCGTGCAGATCACCCT